AGAGCCACTGAGGGGACAGGATCACTTAAGTAAGCTCTACATGACTTCGTTTAGCCCATCTGTCTCGCAGCCAGTGTAACAGGGAACCTATGGGGTGAGAGGTCAGGGCAGTGGGAGAGAGTTATCCTGGGCTAAAAGACATGCTGGTGGCTGCTCGGGTCTCTAGAACATTGCTAGTGAGTGGCAGGGATGCCCGCACATAGTTCCACCTGACCTACACACCACACGGTGAGGTGATGCCCTGGTGCCCAGAATTCAGAGGGTACAAGTCAGTGGGGAGCATCCTTGACCAGCCACAGGGGTGGGGACTTGACCAGGGCCTCAAAGTATTAGCCACCATCCCTGGCATCACTTCCATGACTTCATTCCCACAGTGGCCCTGCGAGGAGGGTCTGAATTGTCCCCACGTGACCGCGGAGGATGGAGGTTGTCTCAGTATCTTACCCAGCCTTCCCATAAGCAAAACTAGGGCCAGAGACAGTGCCATGTGATTATGGAATACACAAACCTGCTTATGCACCACCCTGAATATTGTTTCCTTATTCAAGGAAATTTATTGCCTTAAAGTTGAAGATAACCGGTTGGGGAAATGTCAAGAAAATAAGTTACACAGAATACATTTGTTAATTTTGACGAATGTTCTTCTGATCATGTATGTGCAACTGTGTGTATGAGAGACAGACAGACACAGAGACATCTGAAATGACTTTGTAATTTGACTTTCTTTTTTTCCTCTCCTTTGTTGCTGAAAGGCCAGCCTCAAACTACACAGCTCAGGATGACCTTGAACTCCCGATCCTCCTGCTGCCATTGCTGGCATTCACTGCAGCGACAATCAGTTTTACATGGCACTTGGGATCTGTTTAGCTGGGTTGTGGTGGCGCACATGCCTTTAATCCCAGCGCTTGGGAGGCAGAGACGGGCGGATATCTGAGTTTGAGGCCAGCCTGATCTACAGAGCAAGTTCCAGGACAGCCAGGGCTACACAGAGAAACCCTGTCTTAAAACAAAAACAAAACAGAACAAACAAACAAACAAAAAACAAAAAAAAAAACTTCATTATACCTATAGACATAAAGGCTAAGCCTCAGTTTTCTCCCCAAATACAGAACCCAGAAAAACAGCTCTTTAGGAGTGGCCTCTCCACCACTTTTTCCCCAAATCAGAAGAACCAGGACCCCAGTCATTTTGTCTAAACCTATCTAGCGGTAGAAACATATCTATTTCCCATGAAACACAGTAAGTAATGCCAAGTGAGCTCTCCCCAAGTACACAGGCTTTCATTGAGGAAGACTAGATGGATGAAAGGAGGGATTGATGGATAGACTGGTGGATATATGAACCAAGGAATGAGTGGACAGATGGGCGATGGGTAGACAAATGGATGGAAGAAAGAGACAAGGGAGGATTATAAGAAGCCATCCGTAAGGAGACCCTGGTAATGACATGATGGGACAATGGCAATGCTGATGGCAATGAGGTCTGCCATACTAGTAATCACAGACCAACCTCACTCTGTGCAAGGCAGTTTGTGAGACTCTTCCATATATTCGCTCCTCCAACCTTCCCAACAATTCCAGGTGACAAGTTCCTATCAAGCCTGAAGACCCATGGCCTGGCTGTGCTCTTAGCCAGTGTGGGGAGGGCAGGGGCCAGTAGGACATGGCTTCTTCAAGGGGTCACTCTTAGGCTTGAGGGAAAAGAAGGGAGGCGAGGAGGGCTGTGGAGGAATGGGCAGGGGTGTCATAGGATACTCCTCTATTTTACAGGGGTAGGAACCAAGGCCAGAGCTAAGACACACTTCCAAGGCCGGTTGTCTGCACACAGGCCTCCTCACCTCTATCTGGGCTCCTGAGCATACACAGGTCCCTTCCAGGGGAGCATTAGGTCCTTGGCTCCTTCTGTGTACGTTCCCATGTTGCTCAAACAGGCATTTGAACAGTCATTTGCACTATTTCAGAAAATAGCATGTGATGTCTTTATTCTCTCGTTGGAGGAAGTCCACGTATCTCCTCTCCAGTCCCCTCTGGGGACTCTGAACCCTCTTTACCTCCCTTCCATTTCTTCTACCTGAAAACATTTCCTGGAAGACACCATGACCTGCCCAGGCCCTTGCCCTACCCACAACCCACAAAGTCACATCCTGCACGTCCAGGCTGTGGTCTCTTTGAACTTGAGACTCCAAGTTTGATGGGTCAGACCTGGGAGCAGCGGGGGTGGAAGCTGGGTGACTTCACCACTTCCTCCACAGATGAAATATTCAGCTCACAGTTCCTGCCCTGGCTGGGGCAGCTGAAAAGACAACGCTAAGCTGGGGACAGCTGTCCTGGGACTGTGGGACTGAGGGATTCTTCCAGCATGCCCCACGCACAAGCCGGGGATACGGCCGCTGGGCAGGTGTCTAGCTCTGGTCTCTGACATCCATGTCCCACCTCTTCACTAGCTTTGTGGAAGCTGATCATTCTTCTTTGTGCTGGGATACAACAGGGAGCCCACCAACAAGATCCTGTCCTCGTGGGGCTCATACAGCATGAAGCTGTACACACAGCGATAGCCAGGCAATGAGCAAGGAAGATGAAGAACAAAAAGGGTGGGGAGCATTATACGAGGGGGTTGTTCGAGGGAGGCTTGGCTATACAAATGACTTGGGAGTAAGACGGAAAAACAGCAATACCACATACACTTACACATACACACATATACATACACACATATGCATATAAACACACACATACACACATATACACATACACACACACACATACACACACATAATCTTAGTAAGTCCCAGGGTGCTGCTGAGTTCAGAGACTATAATTCCTGCCCTCTCTAGGGCCCCAGCTCCCCATGTGTGGAACTAGATCAGAATTCTCACTCAAGACACCTTTCAGGGGCCAGGCAGGCACTCCTGAGAGGAGTGGACAGAGGTGAGGTGACAGGGCTGGGTGGCTACTGTGGCCCAGGGACACAGTCTGCCTAGGCTGACCACAAGTTGCTGTTCCCTGAGAACAAAACCCCCACACACTGCATCATGGTGTGGACTCTGGGTAAGGATAGGCTTAAGTCTGTTTGGGGAGGTCTCTGGATGTCTGTGAGGTTAGGCACCTGGGCCAGGGGAGGAACGGCCAGTCTAGGTCTTGGGACAAACCTGAGGGATCCTGAGGCTGCCTGGGGACTGCCAACCCCAGCTGTGGCTCTTCTAGCCCCAGGATCACCCCCGCCCCCTGGCTGTGCTTGCCCAGGGCAGCCTGCAGGGAGGGCCATCTGTAGAGCCCCTAGCTCCAGACCCTTCCCACTCCTCTTGCCATCTCCCCTCCCAGGACCCCAGGGAACTGCAGGGATAGTCCTACCTGCTTCCTGCTATGCTATCTTTGCTCCGAAAGATTCTCTGTCGCCATCAGAGGGTCATGGCCTCTGGGCTTGTTTTCCAGTCAGGTTGGTCTAAGCTTGAAGGGAGCGATGACTTACCCAAGGTGACATGGGAGAAATCACAGGAGGCTGAGCCAAGACCCAGCGTTTTCATTCATTCATTCATTCATTCATTCATTCGTTCGTTCGCTTGCTCGCTCACTCATTCATTCGGCAGACATCTAGAGGGAACTTGTTGTTTCTGGGTGCTACCCTAGAACCCAGAGTTCCACACAGTGGGTGAGTGCTCTCAACTCTTGTTGGGGTCCTCCATAGACCCTCCAACCTCTTTCTGTATCACTGCCACCAAGGCAGGATTCAGGGCTTGCTGGTACCTGGGGAGTGCCCCCCAGGCGCTCTGACTCTCCGTGTCATGAGAAAGCTGCATACCCACCAATTCCCTGAGTGCAGGAGACCCTGGGGCCAGTGGCTGCAATGGCAGGAAGGGGTGAGAGCCACAAGCCACCACATGACTCTGCCAACCCTGTTCGCACAGAGCCCAAAGCCCAGGTCCAGCTCTCTGCTGAGGGACACCTGAGGCCCATGAGACCGTATGAACTGTGCTAAATGATACCTTTGCTGGGGCTGGGTCAGGTTTGGGCACCAGCTAAGCAGGCACGAGGATGCTGCCCTCAGGAGCTTAGGTTCAAGAGTGCCACCCTGCAGATGGCCAGCTCAGTGACCTCAGATCACTCTGTTCTGTCCACGCCATGCTTGGCCTCTACATCTCTAGAAATGGTGCATAAGAGATCCTTTCCCAGCATCTTCAGTCTTCCCTTTTCTTGGCTTCAGAATCAGAGCAGTCACCTTCCAGCTCACCTTCCCTGCCTCCCAGTTTCTCTTGGTCACAGGCCTCCCCTTCACCATCACCACCACCCTGACCCAGACACCGCTGTCTCTCTTTGGAGACTTCGGCAGCTCCTGGTGTCCTAAGCCCCTGGCTTGCTGCAATCCGATTATGTCTTTTCTCTCCTAAAAACCTTCTGCACAGCCTCAGATGTGGGTCACTTGGTAGAATGTTCACCTAGCTTTCCTGAGGTCCTAGATTCAATCCCCAGCACCGGATAAACAGGGTGTGGTGGTGTGTACCCATAACCTCAGCACCAGGGGGAAGAGAGGTAAGAGGATCAGGTGTTCACGGTCATCCTCAGCTACGTAGGGAGTTTGAGGCTAGCCTGAGCTACATGAGACCCTATCTCAACAAAATGAACAAACATTAAAATAAAATCCAAAAACCCCCAAGATGGAGAAGGTGGCTGAGTGGGAAGCAAAGAGATTTTGTGACCTGCTCCTTGTGTTCCAACAAGGGCTTGGCCAAGCCAGGGTACTGGGCACATGGCTGGAGTTCTCCATGGCTCCTCTAAATTTCTCAGTCTTCTTCTTCTTCTTCTTCTTCTTCTTCTTCTTCTTCTTCTTCTTCTTCTTCTTCTTCTTCTTCTTCTTC